ATAACAAAATTTAGAACTTAAGATATAATGAAAATTAAAACTTAAAATATAATGAAGAGAAAACAAAAAAAAAAAATCAAAAAAAAATAAAAATAAAACTGGAAAAGCTTTTAAGCCCCCCCTTGGTGGCTGGAGGTTCATCCCTGAGGGTGAGCAGCCGGAGTTCCCGGAGCGCTTCCCGGGATGCGGGGCCGGGTCACGTGGAGCTGCCCCGTTCCCTTGGAGACGGCTCCATCCTCGGGGATGGCGCGGGCCGGGATGGCACCGCGGCCACACCGCCACCTCCTCACAGGTCTGCGGGCTTTGTCCCTGCCGGGATCGCATCCCGGGCTCCGTCCCGCTCCCAGCTCGGGGCCGGGGCTGCGGGAGCGCCGGGAAGGTTTGAGGGGACCCCTCCGCACGCGGCTCGTCCCGGTTGGTGTTGGGGTGGAGGGTCCGGGGGGAGGAGCGGCCTGGAGAGGGGTGAGGGGGGCTGGGAACGGCCGGGAGAGGGGTGGGAACCGCTCGGGGAGGGATGGGAACCGCTCGGGGAGGGATGGGGGGTTGATTCCGGGAGAGGGGTGGGAACCGCTCGGGGAGGGATGTGGGGTTGAGTCCGGGAGAGGGATGCGGGAACGGCCGGGAGAGGGACGGGAGAGTCACTCCGAGAGGGATGTAGGGTCAGCTCCGAGAGATGGAGAATCAGCTCGGAGAGGGATGGAGGGTCAGCTCCGGGAGGGATGTAGGAGCCACTCGGAGGGATCCGGGATCAGCTGGGAGAGGGGACACAGCAGCAGCTCGGGGAGCAGTGCAGGATCGGCTCGGAGGATGCAGGAACACCTCGGGCAGCGATGCAGGATCGGCTCAGAGGATGCAGGAGCAGCTCCTGGAGGGGCGTAGGAGGCACCCGGAGAGGGACACAGGCGCAGCTGGAGGAGGGATGCGGGATCAGCCTGGAGAGGGATGCGGGATCAGCTGGAGGAGGGATGCGGGATCAGCCTGGAGAGGGACGCGGTGCGGGTGTGGGTTGTGGGTGTGGGTTGTGGGTGTGGGTTGTGGGTGTGGGTTGTGGGTGTGGGTCCGGGTGTGGGTGCAGGTTGTGGGTGCGGGTGTCTGCCCGAGCAGCCCGGGGCGGGGAGCACACCCAGCGCTCCCTTCCCATCCTTCCCGTGAGTCATCCCGGAGCAGGGCACGACAAAGTCCTTGGGAAGTGGGATCTCCCCGCGGTGCCTCGTTCACCGTGAGGATCCTGTGAATCGGTCACTGCCTGGTTTTGTGTAGTAAATAATGTGCCTGTTCGGCTGCGGGGGGATGCAGAGGCACAGGAACAGCTCTGCCTGTGCCGCTGTCCCTGGGCAGGTGCTGCTGCTCCATTTCCCTGCTGGAGGAGCAGCTGAATGAGGCAGGGTTTGTTGGCTTTGTTGCACACAAAGAAATTGGCTGTTACATAAAAAAAAAAACAGTGCAGGTTTCACGGTAAAATTGCTCAGAAACTCTCTAATCTGTGCAATAAATTGCATTTATTTTCACTAGCTGTTGTTGTAGCGCTCAGGGATTTATTTTCCTCAGTCCTCATCTGTAAAATCCCAATTATCTGTGTATATTCTCGGGGCTGTGATTGTTTTTTAACTTCTCTTTATGTTTAATTTATTTCTGACCGTCAGGACAGAATCACTTTCAGCTCTTTTTACAATTACTACAAACCCGGTGAGATTAACATTTAAATTTGTCATTCCTGCTGCTGAAATCACCTCAATTTGCAGTTTTGCAGAGGACAGAGCACAGAGATCAGTCCCTGAGCCCCCTGCCCAGGCACATGGTCCTTATCCCAGCAGCAGGAACGAGGCATTGTCGGATCCAGACGCGCTTGAAACGTTTCCCTTTGGCAAATATTTAGGCTGCTATTTTTGGATTAGAGGTTTTTAACCCACATTGTTGGTGGATTAGAGGTTGGTTTGTGGTTTTTCTCTGCCTGCCTTTGTGTCGGGGTTGGCTTTGGGCTGTTTGCTCCTGAGCAGCACCGGGCACAGGGGAAAGGGGCTGGGGCAGCTCCATAAAAGGCACGTGGAAAACACGGCTCAGAACTGAGCTGAACACGAGCCTGGGGGTGCCCAGGGGTGCCCAGGTGTGCCCAGGGGTGCCCAGGTGGGCAGGAGGCCAGTGGCCCCTGGGCTGTGCCAGGACTGCTGTGGCAGCAGGACCAAGTTGGACATGAGGAGGAATTTCTCCCTGGAAAGGGTGGTCAGGCCCTGGCAGGGGCTGCCCAGGGAGGTTTGGAGTGCCCAGCCCTGGAGGTGTCCCAGGAAGGCCTGGCTGTGGCACTCAGTGCTCTGGGCTGGGGACAGGGTGGGGATGGGGCACAGGGTGGGGGCTCTTTGTGATCCTGGAAGTGTTTTCCAGCCTCACTGGGTCTGGGATTCTGGGATTGCCAAGGGAAGCAGAGGCAGTTTCTCACTCCCAGCCCTCCAATAACCCCCCTGTTGAACAGGATAAGCCCAGGAATTGGCTGTTTTCTCCTGTTTAACAAAGAGAACAAAGGAGGAGTCAATCTGACACATAAACTTCCTGCTTTCTCCTGGAAGTTGCCCCTATGGATTCAGCAGGAATGGGATGGTGAGATCCTGTGTGATGCTGCACTTGCAGTCCCGTTTTGTAGGGAAAATCCTGCTGGCTCAGCACTCCCCTGGCTGTGTTTGCCCTTGGGGCTCTCATTGGAGGTGTGTCAGCTGCTATTTTTAAACAATTCCTAATTTTTCCTTGCAAATGCTCCATCAGGAAGCAGCACATTCCAGGGAGGAGCTGTTTGTGCCTGGGAGGGCACAGGAGGCCGGGCAGGGAAGGGGGCAGTGCCCTCCTGAAGCCTCAGGCACCCCTCATTTTAACTGCAGTGCAATAATATAAATATCCATTTAAACTGGGCTGTAACGTGGTGTCGTGGTTTGGCTCCAGCTGGAACCAGAACCTCTGGGAGAAGGAGCAGGTGAGGGATGCAGGGACTCTGTTCTCTGCCCTCCAGGGATGGCCACAGACCTTCTGTTCTCAGCTTCATTTCATTTGCATAATTAATTGGGCTGCACAGCCTGGAAATCCAGGTTAGCCCTATTTTGCTTTGATTCTTTTTTTGTTCCTTGCTCCAAAAAGAAGCTGAGTGAAGCACCAGCAGCTCGGAGCTCTCCCTTGCTGGACGTGCCCTTGGACTTCAAACAGACTCTTTTTATTTAACAGGCAACAGATTCCCACTTTTTCATGGAGTTCCCTTCTCTGGACACTCTCCATCCTTACATTTGTGTCTGATGGATCCTCTCGTGTCACAGACTTGCCTTTAGTCACTGTGAAAAATCCCACGTGTATATCACAAACAAAGGTTTCCAAAACCTTTCCTGCTTGGAAGTTTTCCCCTCGTGATTTTGGGGCAGAAGAACTCGAAGCATCTGCACAGATGTTCCTACAATCACATCCCAGTTCCCAGCCCGTGGAGTGACTCACCACAGATGTTTGACCTCAGCCACAAATACAACAGAGGTCGGGAGGTTTCTCTGAATTGCTTCCTGTGCAAAGCAGAAAATACCAACAAAAAAAAAAAATAATCAGGTATTGCCTGAAAAGCTTTGAGGTTTCCAGTTAAAGAGCCATGGGAGCTGTTCTGGGGCTCTCCTGCCCCTCCCTCCCTGCAGCTCCTGCTCCCTGGATCTCGCTCTGTCTCCGCTCGTTCGCTGCGGTTTGGTTTTATTAGAAATAAATCAGATTTATGTGCAAGCTGCCATCAAACCACCACATAATTGGCTGTTAAAGAGGAGGTTTGGGATTACGACTCTCTCTCGGTGAAAAGAACGTTTTCCAGCCTTTGGCTGTTCCTGTGCCTCTTTCCCTGGAGCGTCCCTGAAGCTCTCCAGCCTCCCTCTGGAGCGGCAGCCCCTGGGATGGAGTGGAATTCCAGCAGGATGAAGCCTGTTTGTGCCCCTGGTTTGTTAATTCTGTGGGAAAGGGCGATTCCACCCTCCCCCCCTCTCTCTGCTCTCTGCTGTGAGTTTTATTTTTCGTTATCATTATCAGCTCTCACAGTTCTTCAATAGCTTTGCCTTTCCTTTCCTTGGCCTGCCTTGGTGCCTCCTGTGGCACAGACTTATTGATCCTGCACCTGCCCCCTCAGGCACCCAGGAGAGGGGGGAGGCAGCAGGAGATGGTTATTTAGATTTGAATAATAAATAAAGGGCCTGGGTTATGAGCTTGGTTATATAATACACACTGCACAAAAGAAGCTCTTCCTTCATTTCCACCTCCTTGGTGGTGGTTTCTGAGCACTTGGGGGATGAGAGTTCATCCAGTAAAATGGCAGGAAGAGAATTTTTCCCCTTAAATAGTGCATGGAATTTGCTCAGGAGGGAGAACATTGGACAGAAAGTGCTGGGTGCTGTCAAGTGTGTGCTGTGACCTCCTCCTGTCAGGGCTGATGAGCCTCAGAGCACGTGGGGACCCAACCTGAGCGACTTCCAGGAGTGTTCAAGGGAGCTGGGGAGCTCCTCAGGCAAAGGGAGCAGAGCATCAGGGGAAGGGTTTGGATTGTGGGGTTAGGTTTGGGTGTTATGGAGAAATTCCTGGCTGGGAGGAGTGGGGAGTCCCAGAGAAGCTGTGGCTGCCCCTGGATCCCTGGAAGTGTCCCAGGCCAGGTTGGATGGGGTTTGGAGCACCCTGGGCTGGTGGGAGATGTCCCTGCCCATGGCAGGGGGTGGGATGGGAATCTTTCCCACCTTCCAAGGGTCTGGCCACATCTGAACTGCTCCCTGGGAGTCGTTCCTGGCTCCTGCTCACTCCCAAACTCCTCCCAGGACTTGTTTGGGGAAGGGCTGTTTAGCAGGGCCCAGAACTGCCCTGGGGTTTGCTGACCATCACTCCTGCCTGGACAGTCGTGATTTCTGGGGAGGTTTTCGAGGCAGAAAAATCCCTCCTCAGCAGCTGGTTCCAGAATACTTTGCATTTAAATATTCATTTAAATATTTAAAAATTAATTTAAATATTTTAATATATTTTAAAGGGTTGGTGTTGGGGTTTTTTTTTCACAACTCCTGGGAGCACCTCAGAAGGGGGTTTTTAAACTGGAAGTTTTGGTAGAATGGGGTCGAGCTGCACTGCAGGGCCACAGGAGCAGATCTCACCCAGGGCAGATGTGACAGAGCAGATGTGACACAGAGCAGATCTCCCTGCTCCAGTGCTGCTGTGGATCCTGGCTCCATGAATAATTCAGGTTCTCATCCTCCCAGTCTCATGATCAAGGCGATGTTTCTGTCCTGGTTGTACCAGCAAACACGGCCCCATCCTGACAGGTGTTTTCAGGAGATATTCCCTAAAAATAGAGAAACAGCCTCAGGAAATTCTGGGGCCTGGGAAAGGCTTTATTGGGCTTGGTGAGAACATGGAATCACAGAATCACTGAGCTTGGAAAAGACCTCCAGGATCACCGAGCCCAAACTTTGACCAATCTCCACCTTGAAATCCCTTAACAAGCTGTTCCTAATTTTATCACTGTTAGCAAGGATTGAGCTGGAAAATTTGGGATGCTGGTAGTTACAGAACTGGGGGGGACTGGTGGAAATGTCCCACAGTGCTGCTAAAACCAGACTGCAGATGGTGAATTGCATCCACTGCCTTATTAGAAGAGTCTTACAAAATACTGAGGAGGTGTCTGTGTGTTTGAGGAAATCCTGTGCCCCTCCCAGAGGAAAATCCCAGCCAACATCCATGGAAATGTGGCTGGAAAACCCAGTTTTGTTTGCAAAAGCTGCTGCTTGTGGGAGGTGTTTCTGTCAGAGCTGCACGGGGGGGGGGGTTTGTGGTGTGTGTGGGGAGCAGGAGGATGCAGGGCTGGGAAGGGAATGTTTGGGAGAACAGAGGGTTTGTGGTGTGTGTGTGGAGCAGGAGGATGCAGGGCTGGGAAGGGAATGTTTGGGAGAACAGAGGGTTTGTGGTGTGTGTGGGGAGCAGGAGGATGCAGGGCTGGGAAGGGAATGTTTGGGAGAACAGAGGGTTTGTGGTGTGTGTGGGGAGCAGGAGGATGCAGGGCTGGGAAGGGAATGTTTGGGAGAACAGAGGGTTTGTGGTGTGTGTGTGTGGGGCAGGAGGATGCAGGGCTGGGAAGGGAATGTTTGGGAGCTGAGGAGGGTTTGTGGTGTGTGTGGGGCAGGAGGATGCAGGGCTGGGAAGGGAATGT